AGTTGCTGCATACGGGAGCAGCTTGATCATGGAATCCGCTATCTGGATCTACGTGTGTCGCATCCATCGGCGGATGTCCGTGAATCTAGCAAGGTATGCATTTCAGCAATTTGTTGTTAAACATTCATTAAGTTATATGAAGTTCCCCTATTCTTCTATCAGAACCTTTATTTAGGACTTTCGGCTGATACATGCTTTGTACGGTCCAAAAATGCAAGAAGTATTCCGAGAGATTCTAGACTTTCTTACAACTAACACCAAGGAAGTATGTCAAATGCCAATTTCAAGACATACAAGTTTTTCATAACATCTGCAAGTCCATCTTCTTTTCAGCTACATATTGTGGACTTTTCAGGTCATTCTTCTGGATATGAACCATCTGTATGACTTCAACATGGAAAGTTATAACCTGTTACAAATGGAGGCAGTGAATATCCTAGGAAAGGAGCTTTTCTGTCCATTAACTCATCCAGACAGTATTTCTTTGGATTTCATGTGGGAGAACGGATACAGGTGAGAATAGAATCTGTATATCAGTTCACTATCAAACTTGACTGTCACTTGACACTTACGCGATATGCTCATAATCAAGTTCTTTTCGATATGGGATTATTATAAGGCACCGGTTATCTAGGGAATGCCTACGTTAAGTTTCTGAATCACCATCTGTGATGTTAGTGGAGAAGTTGACCAACAGGGTAAGCAGGCTGACCAAAAATAATAACAAACAAAAATGAAGATTTGATTCTATTGATGGTATTTTCTTAGAACGAACAAAGTGTGAAGCGGGTGGTGCTCAATTGCAATCGTTATAATAAGTAGGCCTAACGTAGAACGAGTTTGGCTATTCCAAACCAGACATAATTTCAAATTAAATGCTTCGTGGTAAGACCGATATCCTTCATTTAGAAACATGAAGAACATCAAACTTGACAGCTATACAATAAAATGTAACATAAATGATACGAATATAGAACCGATCGAATATGACGCAAGGTTTTCCATTAAATAAAAGTTACAATGGATGAATAAGATAAACAAGACTAGATGAGCGAACGAATAAAGTCAAAGAGTGCTGGTCAAAGAAAAAAACTTTTTGTTCAGTCTTGCAATGTGGAAAAAAGCACAGGTTCAGTTGGAGAAAGGAATCCAAAAATCTTGAGAGGAAATGAGGGTAAGGAGGGAAAGGAAGCGAAAGCTAACATAGTGTTACTGAGTGGAGCAAGAACATGATTAGGGCTATC